ATATATATATATATATATATATATATATATATATTTAAATATATATATCAAGGTGTATATATATATATATATATATATATATATATATATATATATGGTGTCTGAAGCCTGTATTAAAACACGGGTTTCAAACGGCGTAAGCAGACATAAAAAGTCCCATTCGAATTGCGTAGAACACAGGCCTGCACAGCATACGGACCTCGGTCACATGTGGCCGCAAGCACTTACTTGGCGGCTCGCGAAGTAACGAAATATTCTTTAATATCATTATTTTCTCAACAGCTTTCGCCCCTGTCTCGTTATCTTTCGGGCCGCACAATTTTTTCATAAATTATTACGGCCCGCCTTACATTTTGAGTTGTGCAGGCCTGGCGTAGAAGATAAGGAATTTTTTCGTGTGTTTCAGTTTAAACCAAAGATCTCTCAAACCCTGCTAGGGTTGACGTCATAGTCAGTAAGAGCTGTTACGCACTAATGGTGCGTTTGTGCAATTGACTTAATAAAATGTAATCATGTGCTCATGTAAACAAAAAAAAATCGTCCCACTTTTTTATCCCCAACTTTTTCGACCCTGGGAATATATGGGTGGGAAAGTCCAATGACGGACTCAGCACGACTAAATCATCAAACGTTAGAGAGGGTATTCGTCTTGAAAAAGGAGGGGGGGGGTGTTTAAACACAACCATTTAGCAAAGCCTATTGGAATATGTGGCGATCACAAAATGTAGCATTTATGTAATGCTAACCACACAACAGTCAATATTAACATTACATTCATGGCATTTTCTATTGAAATTATTCAAAAGATGCAGCGTGCCATTTACGGTAGAAAAAATGTACAATAAGAATCGAATATTAGTGGCTCATGAACTTCATCTTTGACAAGTCTTATTTGTTTGACAATAAATTGTAAGTGGAGATTTACTTCCTAAGTATAAGCGGCACAGGCGGCCCAAATATCGCCTGGAAGAAGCGGCACAGTGGCCCAAATATCGTCGGCAGAAGTGGCTAAGGCGGCCCAAATATATTGCCCGGAAGAAGCAGCAAAGGCGGCCCAAATATCGCCGGAGGAAACGGCACAAGGCGACCGAAATATCGCCGGCAGAAGCGGCCCACGCAGCACAATATATGACCGGCCCCCCGGGATTTCTACCCGGTGTCCCGGTAGGCCAGTCCGCCCCCCCCCTGAAACCATACGCACTTACATAAATACAAACCTAGGCAATCTTACATAAATACAAACCTAGGCAATCTTACATAAATACAAACCTAGGCAATCTTACATAAATACAAACCTAGGCAATCTTACATAAATACAAACCTAGGCAATCTTACATAAATACAAACCTAGGCAATCTTACATAAATACAAACCTAGGCAATCTTACATAAATACAAACCTAGGCAATCTTACATAAATACAAACCTAGGCAATGTGTGATTGTATTATTCAGATTGTTGTGTGTGACTCTGTGTGTATGGGGTGGGGTTAGGGGGGACGGAGGATGGGGGAGTTTGGGCGTGATGTGTTTGTATTTATATAAAACATCTTTTTAGAAGAAAGACTTAAACTATTATAAAAGTGTCTTGCGAAATTGCACCGGTCCCGTTCAGCAATCTTCAGAGTGCGACAAAGCGTAAATTTGTCATGCATTTTCTTTTCTTTCTTTAATTTAAAAGACCCTGGAGTAGGGGCGAAGCATTTAAGTTCAGTCTCGGTCTCCGTGCGCAGACTCTGCCTTCCACGGTCCTGTGTTACATTGATAATCAAGGGCCACGTCATCAGTATTACAATAGCATTGATAAAGCCGGAATGCTTGAATGTAAGTAAATATTTGATGCCCCCCCCAACCCCACCCCCTTTTTAATACTCTCCACCACATGAAAGCTATCGGGTTTTTTCTGAAAACGGTTCGCAACCCCAACAGCTGCAAAAGTGTGTGTGTGTGTGGGGGAGGGGGGGATGTTGTGGTCTTTTGTCCAACTTTATATAAGTAGGGCAGTCAGGTCTGCTAGGGGACATTGCCCGGTCTAAGGGTCTAAGCTCCGACGTTCAGCCTAAAAAAATGACATTTCATGTGAGTATCCGATTCCTAAGTTTTCGTATCACCTTAAGATGGTGATGGCGTCATAACTAATAACGATAACTCCAAATTAATCGTAGGACTATTTATTGATGGATTTAACGTTAAAGACAGTTTTTTTTGGGTTGGTTAGGGGAGGCAGTATGGAAAGTAAGTAAAATTAATAAACTGCCTAACATACGAGACATTGAAGCGAATTAAAGTATTGACTAAAATACCGTACATGACATAACAGCTAATTAACGTATTGCCTAACATACGAGACAATGACGTAACAGCTAATTCACGCAATGACTAACATACGAGAAAATGACATAACATCTAATTCACGTATGGCCTAACGTACTTGACGTAACATCTAATTAACGTATTGCCTAACATACGAAACAATGCCATATCAACTAATTAACGTACTGCCTAACATGCAAAACAATGACATATCAACTAATTAACGTATTGCCTAACATACGAAACAATGACATATCAACTAATTAACGTATTGCCTAACATACGAAACAATGACATATCAACTAATTAACGTATCGCCTAACATACGAAACAATGACATATCAACTAATTAACGTATTGCCTAACATACGAGAAAATGACATAACATCTAATTAACGTATGGCCTAACGTACGTGACGTAACAGCTAATTAACTTATTGCCTAATAATACCATACAATGACGTAATATCAACTAATTAACGTATTGCCTAACATACGAAACTATGACAGAACAGACTGGTTTTTTTCAAGCAGTATTTCCAAGTTTTGACTTTATTCGTGGATTTATGTATTTTTTGTCCTCCCAAAGTGGTACATTGTCTGCCAGTTGCTGGTCAGCTCGTGGACTTTGGCCATAGATCCTGACGTGCAGATAAAGCTGAACGCCATCCAGGAGCAGATGAAGACCCTGACCAAACATACGATGGTCTTGCAAGAATTTGTGGAGGAAAGGTCAGTGGTCGGTGCGGTGGAAACCTCCACCCCCCAGTGGATAACCTACGGTGGGAGAAGGGTGGGGATGAAGGGTCGACTGAGTGGATATGTAAATAATAATGGTACAGCCACTCAAACCAAAGGACCACTCCCCCCTCCTCCTCCTCCCCCCCCCCGCGTGGGGCACAAACTCTAGTCATGGCCTTGACCGTAGGTTAGTTTGAATCAGCTAGACATTGGGGGAGGGGGCTCTCACTTTAGTCGGACCGAGTCTTTTAGAACCCGCTGTTACCAAACAAAAAGTCCAAAAGACAACAAAAAAATGGCCAAAAGATCTTGCTACCACAAAATGGCCAAAATGACCTCGCTACGAAACAAAAGACCTTGTTACCGAAAATGGCCAAACACCTTGTTACTAAAAATGGCCAAAACACCTTGTTACAAAAAATGGCCAAAACACTTTGTTGCCAAAAAATGGCCAAAACACCTTGTTACCAAAAAAAGCCAAAACACCTTGTTGCAAAAAAATGGCCCAAACACCTTGTTACCAAACAAAAGGCGAAAAGATTTGACTGATAGGAAGGCGAAATATGAGATGAGGCAGACGAGGTAACAGATGTAACAGACACCGATCTGAGCGTTATCTGATTTGCAAAAAAAAAAGGAAAGCATGCCAAATTGAAGGGAATATAATATTCTTCCCGCGGCTGAGGACAGTGGTAAGATTCAGTCGGTTGACGCCGGTTCGCCTAAGCTTATACACCACCGGTTGTTGTTTTTTTTTAGCTCGACGAAAAAATGTTTTAAGTGATAGAAATTGGGGATTTAGCACAGGCATTTTTTTTTTTGTTTGGTGTTTTTGGGGGGGGGGAGGTTTGGCGGGTGGGCAACGCTCTAGCGCCACTCCGAACAAATTGTTTGCTAGCTCCAGCTCCGCCCAGAGAAAAAATGTTTTAAGGGATAGGAATTGGGGATTTAGCACAGGCATTTTTTTTTTGTTTGGTGTTTTTGGGGGGGGGGGAGGTTTGGCGGGTGGGCAACGCTCTAGCGCCACTCCGAACAAATTGTTTGCTAGCTCCAGCTCCGCCCAGCGCTCTGGCGCCACTCCGAACAAATTGTTTGCTAGCTCCAGCTCCGCCCAGCGCTCTGGCAAAATTAAAAAAAAAAATTAAAAAAAAATCGAATCTTAGGTTTGCACCGATTTTTCTGCATATATTCCGTATCAAGTTAGATTGGTCCTTTTGCCAGAATAGACACTTGAGTTCTCTTTCTGACCACAAGCTTAAATTATGAACAACAATAAAAGTCGCTGCAGTAACTCAAAAATAATCCATTCAAATAATCAAGATTTTGATTTTTACCTGGGAATGGAGAGGAGAGATTGATGGGGATTGGTTGATGGGTTGTTGAAGGGGTTGATACGTGTTTATAGAAATGTGTTTTATTATTGTCACTTAAACATAACTGGTAGAATAGTGGTGGCAACGTAGCTGGTAGAAGAGTGGTGGCAACGTAACTGGTAGAAGAGTGGTGGCAGCTTAGCTGTTACAGGGTGGGACAACATAGCTGGTAAAAGAGTGGAGAAACATATTTGGTAGATGAGGGGGGGGGGGGGGACATCGCTGCTAAAATGAGACACGATCTCAGGATTATTGTGTACAAAGTGGGGCTAATAAGAAGGTAATGATGTTCAAATGACCACAGGATACGAACCGATGGCCAGTCTGGGCTGAAACAACTTCGCCACGACACAGAGGGGACCAAGAATTACTTTGGCTCCACGCACATCGACTACAGTGCGGCCGGCATCCACGACCACAGTGATTACATCAACACTTTAGGGATGGGAGAGGTAAGATTTACCGTATCTACTCTAATAATTGTACGCTTAGAACAAACACAATCCGTTTTTTTTTAATTGTTTTTTTTTTTAAATTCCCATTATTTCATGCTTAGAAAAAAATGCAATTAATCATCCACAACGCAACATGAACCCCCCTTCATTGCATGTTTAGATCAGTGCTGTGATCAACGGCGTGGAGTTCCGAACCCGTCACCTGGACTTCAAAACCGTTCGCCCCTCCACAACCAACACCAGCTTTGGTGCCGTTGAGGACATTCAGTTCCCAGATGTGCCACCGGAGGTGACCAGCAAAGCCACGGTGCAGGTCAGCAATGATTTTTTTTTTTCAATATTTAAAAAAAAAAAAAGTTAAGTCTTTCAAGCACAGATGAAATTAAACTTAACTCACTGAACGTTAGGAACTTAATTTACAATTTCTTAAAATGTTTTACGCAAAGTAAGATTGTACAGAAGTGTAGATGAGCACTCTATGAAACCAGAGGACTCGAACTGAACGTATAGACAAAACTTAAATCTATTTTATTTTGTATTAATATTTTGAGGAGAAAATTTGAAAATAGCTTGAGGTACTTTTTGGACGGCCCCTTAGCTACGCCAAGAAAAGGTCGAAGACATTCTCACAGCACAAAGATGAAAATCTTGATGCCATACCGGCAGCACAAAGATGAAAGTCTTGATGCCATACTGGCAGCACGAAGATGAAAATCTTGATGACACACTCACAGCACGAATCCTACCACGATGCTGGTTGTACACCAGGCTGATTAAAACATGATTTATTTTAAATTATCAACATTATATTTTTTTTCTGTACGTTTTTCGAATTCTTTAGGAACAAATCCAAGAAATGAAGCAGTGGTTCAAGGCCTTCGCCACCCAGAACTCCACCCTGAGAAACTACAAGAAGTACTTCAAGCCACTGCTGTGTTACATGGAGGGCATGTGGATCAAAGGTTATTTTTAAAGTAAAATTTGATTAGGAAGAAATATGTGATAATCACGGGTGGAAAAAATATAGATGCTAAAATATAGATCTAGATACTCTGTGTAATGTTATTCGCATCATTTGTTTCTAGCTTCGCGTTCATTTTTCCACAGATTTGAGCTCAGAGATCACGGAACCCTTCAAAAGTGACCGACATCGTTTGAACGCCAGGAGTTGGGACGACCTCATGGACAAAGTTTGTGGTCAACCATAAATTCATCTGTTATATTATTTTAAAAAATAACTAATGAAAGGTCTATCATGTAACATTTGTCCATCTTAGTTTTCCTAGTTCCAAATGGTTTCCTTTAAGTTGTTTTTGTAATTTGTATCCGTCTATATTTATCCACCAAATTTTTTTGCGACTAAATGTTACCTGTGCAAATTTGGCTTTTTGTCAAAAATTACCCTGGGGGGAAAAAAAGGAGATAACAGTAGGCCTGCAATGGGAGTTAAAGGCCTTGTCCAATGAGAAGTACGGGATATTAGCAAATGAGGGTCATTAACAAAGTAATTGATTGCTTTGCTGATATTGATCGCTGTGTTCCAAATAAGGTTAAGAAGATAAAAAGTTTATTTTGATTACGTGACGAACGATTTAGTTCTAATATAAAAAATAAATTTGAGAAATTTAAGCTGAAATTTCGCCAAAATTGATGCAAACTGAAATGACTTTTTATTTAATGTGCTTTTTTTTTTTATTTAGGATAATGCATTTTCTATTTCTTGTTGGTTCTTCATTTGTCCTGTCTGCTGAGTAAGGCTTTTGGCCGAAACGTTCTTCTATTGTTGACCTTGCTCTTTATATTTCAGGCTTCCACATTCTTTGTTCCACTACTTTTTGAGATCAAAATTAATTGAAATTTTTTTTTGAAATAAAGTTATAAAAATTTGTATACAACCATTTATGTTCAAGCTTAAGAGTATGCTCTTTAGACTTACCCAGCCATGTAAGACTTCGTTCGTGCCAGCAGTCCCGGAAAAAAAGAAAGTTTAATCAGTGTTTAAATGTGCCTAGGCTTGTTGAATTCATACATAGAGCAGATTGTTTCTTAAACTTAACGATGATCCTCACACTGTACACTTCTAAGGTCCGCTACATGGCGTACACCGGGACCAAAGACAATTTTGAGAACGCAGGCTTCCACCCCCGCAAGATCATGTCAGTGGACCCCGTGACGGGAGCGCCCACCTTCGGCCAATGGAATTACAGGGTCCTGTGCTACCCGACCAGTGTGGACATCCCTTTGAAGTACCTCAAACAGGTTTCGTATTCTTTTGACCTACGGCCCCTGTTAAACTGGTAATAGGGGGTGGGGGGTGGAGATTGTCTTCAGAGACTCGGTGCCTGTTAAATTGCCAATAAAAGGGCGGGGGGGGGGGGGGGGGGGTGGGGAGAGGGAGACTGCCAACAGAGGCGGAGCTCCTGTTAAATAAGTTGTTTACTCTAACGCTTGTGCTATGACTGTCTCATTGAAAGGTGTTATGTGACCTTGGCTGAAATAAAAACACACACCCCTCCATCTCCCCCACCTTTTAAAATAAAATTTCTATATTTCAGCACCGTTTAAATATCATTGTCCCACTTCGACACAACAGTCCCACCACTGTTTAAAAACCATTGTCCCACTTGGACAAAGTCAGTATCACCACTGTTTAAAAAATTATTATCCCACTTCGACACACCAGTCCCACCACTCTGACCGTTTAAAAAACGGGGCCCCACTTGGACACAAACAATACCACCCCAGTTTAAAAATCCCCCTGTCATTTAACCCCCAAAATGCCCCCCCCCCCCCAAAAAAAAAAGCTACTCCCCACCCCTTAATTTGAACCCAAGCTAAACAATTGAAGCATTCTTCTGATTGGTCAGTCTGTTCATCTCAAGCTCATAAACATATCTTGTTCCACTATTCACTGTGCCCGTTGTAAAGAAAAGACAAACATGCAGTTGACCGTTTATCGCGAGTCACGTTTATACAAAATGTACATCACTCTAAAAAGAGTCTCTTTGCCGTTCAGAGAGAAGACTGGTCCTGGAGCATCGCCAACGATTACGACACAAAAGAAGTGCTGGCCACACGAGGTGCCAGATTTGACCTCAATGGTCAAGTTACGGATAACGAGTGAGTCATTATTTTTTTTTCTTATTAGAAGTTTTTTTTTTTTTAAATCTTTTCTCAATTCAAATAAAGCGAAAGGATAGAAATCAGCACACACACACACACACACACAAAAACCCAGCCTAGTTGTCAAAATACTGAATTTTTAACCATTAAATTTAAGAGTTGACCTAAGAAGATATGTTTTATTATTGCTTTTGAATTGGGAACATGCATTTCATTTCATAATCAATGCAATTACGCACGGCAGGTTTACGACATTCACAGTTCTCGACAAGGTCATGCAGGAAATTCCCGGCCTGGACAACGTCCCAGCGGCGGATCTGCAAGAAGCGTACGGTGGGAAGTTGTGGTCCGGCGAGGCCAAGGGCGTGCCACTGCGGTCGGCGTACTACCACAGGTGGTACAACTTTGACACGAAAGGCGCCATGGGGACCTCTGTAGGTAGACGTGATGTCGCTGGCTTGTTGGGTTTAGGCTGGGTTAGGGTTAGGCGGGTTATGGCTAGGTGGGTTATGGTAAGTTGGGTTATGTTAAGTTGGGTTTCGTTTAGATGGGTTATAGTTAGGTGGGTTGTTGTAAGTCGGGCTGTGCTTAGGTGGGTTACGGTGAGACGGGTTGTGTGTAGGTGGGTTATGGTTAGGTCTATTATGGTTAGGTCTATTATGGTTAGGCCTATTATGGTTAGGTCTATTATGGTTAGGTGGATTGTGACAAGGCGTGTTACGGTTAGGTGGTATTACGTACCGTTATAAGGTGTAATAAATTTAATCTGTTGCTTTCAAAATATGGCTCGTTGGATGAACAATACGCAACAAAGGACTGGAGCCTAGTAATCAAAGAAGAACGCTTCCAAAGCTAGTGCTATTAACAGTAATCAATTTAATCGTACTATTAAGGTGATGTAAAAATTAAAAATCAAATAAACGGAAGAAAAAAAAATATATATATATTAACTTAGAGCGCAGCAAGTGAAACAAATACAATACTAGAAAAGTACAAAGATGAATCCACACAAACACAGTGAAAAAACGTTTTTTGTAGAACTGTATTTCTGTTAAGTCTGGTAAGTACGTCTGCCGGTCACAGTCGACCGTCTTATTTCTATAGGGAGGGAGCGCCCCAAATCAGAACGTCTAGAAATTCAATCGTAAAGAGTAGAGAGTATTTCTCCCTGTTTGCAGACCCTTCTGAAAACGTAAACGAACTTTTTTTTATAATCAAGGGAGGTAAGGGGGAAAGGATTGGCAGCATGAGTCACCAAGTTAATTGGTGACGTCGGTAATAAAAACGAAGGAGGGGGGGGGGGGGTTAATAGTCGCTCAAACCAAATCAACACACAGGCTAAAACAGGTGGGTTAAGGTTACGCGGGTTAAGGTTAGGTGGGTTAAGGTTAGGTGGGTTACAGTTAGGCGCATAATGCTTAGATGAAATATGTCTGGGTGAAAAGGGCAAATTTGGAATAAAATTTGATTTAAAAAAATGGTAGGTGGAGAATAGTTAAAACGGATCCATTAACCTTTAATTGTTTTTCTTTCTTTTTCCTTCCCATACACCACCAGCTTACACACCGAGGCTACTCGGACCAATACCTATTCGTAGCCGTGAACACACGTGACAAGATCGTACCCATGGCGATGGAGGACTGCAAGGACGGCGCGTGCACCAAATACAGTGCACGTGTGTCGTACGCCATTCCACTGGAGCTCACGTACATGACACCCCTCCTGAAATGGAACCCGTATAAGATTGCTTACAATCAGGTACACGACAGACTTTGCAAACAGACTTTACAAACAGACTTTACAAACAATGAGACATTTTTATTGATGTCATTGGTAAATTCATCATGTTATCCACTGTGTTGGATTTTTTTTTTTTTAAATTATAGTCCACCATCATTGGCGTAAGGAGGGTGGGCGGTGGGGCGGTCAGCCCCAGGCGGCACTTTCTTTACCTGCTTATTTGGGGTCAGCGTTTTCTGCCAACTTGAGAGTTTTTTTCGACGGGGCGGGCAGAAAAAATTCGCCCCCCCCCCCCCTGGGGCGGAATTAACCCTAGCTAATCTAACATGCGCTATCCTTGTATCCTTGCCCCCAATCTGACAAATTAGCATTTGCTATCACATGCCCCCATGTGACAATATTATTATGTGCTGTCTACATGCCCCCACATGTGACAATATTATTATGTGCTGTCTACATGCCCCCACATGTGACAATATTATCACGTGTTGTCTACCTGCAACCCCCCCTCCCCACATGTGACAATATTATTATGTGCTGTCTACATGCCCCCACATGTGACAATATTATTATGTGCTGTCTACATGCCCCCACCTGTGACAATCTTATTATGTGCTGTCTACATCCCC